CAAGGCCGCGAGGCGCCGGCCGGGGCGGGCAGGGGTGTGCAGGGGCGGCAGGAGGCCCCGGTGCAGGTGACTGGCGTCGGGAAGCGCAGCCCCACGGCCTAGGCCTGTGACATCTGCCTTGCCCGTGAGGACTCCCCGCAGCCCTTCGCCTTGGCGGGCCGGGGCGAGGCGCTCGGGGCGGGCAGGGGGGCTCCGCCAGCGGAATTGCTTCTCGCGGGGTGCGGTGTCCCGTCCCACCTGCCCTGGATCTTCCCGCCACCGTCTCTCCCCAGCTCGTTAAATCCGCATCGTGCCCAGCCATATCTCCTGGCGTTACGGCTGCGTGGCGGATCGACAGTGAGCTAACGTATGGGCTTCCCGTGCAAGCCTTGGTAGCCTTTAGGCCCTGCGATGGTGTATATCCAGCTAACCCATTGCTGTGTGGGTTACTGAGCGTCCCCAGAGGAGTCGTCCCTGCCAGTACGGGGAGTACGAACCTTTGTTGCGGATGGGAAACTGCTCAATAAAAATCGCACGGAAATTTTAGAGCCTGGATAGTTTGGTTGTAAAGCCCCACTCGAGTCCAAGAGTATACTCCCGTAGCAGCCGGTGTCAGGCTCTGAGAGATCTGATTGCTGCAGCGGGCAGAAGACACCTCCTTGCTCACCTCACGCAGCACCAGGGTGTTAAAACCGTGTTGTTTCCACCATCTTAGGGGCTGGTAAAAATAATGCAAAAGAAAGGGAAAAACTGTCATTGAAAGTGTTAACTCCTGTCGTGTAAGTGCAACCTGTTTTGAACTTGTAACCGTTCTGCTATCGTCTTATAAAAACACAGATTTTCATATAGCTCTTTGTAGTGCAAGGGTTGAGAAATACTACTGAGAAATTGAGAAGTTTTGTTTGCACCTGTTACCCTGCACTCTTCCGATAAGCTTACACCAGCCTGTGTACAAGCCAGTTCCATTTGTAATTCTGAAAAAACGTGTTGACAAAATGCCGACTCAATAACCAATGACATAGTTACATCATGTAGACACACTGTGAATCTTCCATGCCTACAGACCAAACAGACTTCTTGTTAGAAAAGTTGAACTTCTGCTCTGGGAATCTAAAATTTCAATTCCCCCCCCCTTTCCCCCCCCCCCCCCCCCCCCCCAAAAAACCCCCAAAAACCAAAACCAATCCAAAAAAATACCAAAACCAGGACTCTGTCCTTGTTCTAGACTTCAAAATGGGATCCTAGCACCAGACTCTCATTATATGCTTTGGTGGCAAAATGTTTCCTGACATCAGGCTACTTGGATCGTTCTGGCTTTAGAGACGAACAGACGCTCAGGAGGAGATGAAGCAGTCTATCATCTCATCGAATTTGCAGGAGCTCGTGTTAGGGCTGTGAGTGCACACTGAGACCTTGCAGCCCCTTCCCCGCTCCCTGGGGGCTTAGCCACCTGCGCGTGAGGCTGGCTGCGGTACCATGTGCTCACGTAGCCTGGGACGGAGCTGCAGTGAAAAGAGCTGTGACGAGGAGCTGTGAGGAGCCTCCTCGGTGGCCTCTTCACTTGGGAGCTGCGTTCAGACTCGGGGCCTTCCCTGAGCAGTGCTGCGGGTGTATCTACGTCCCTTGCTGATCCTGACCCACTGACTTGACTTCCCAGTTCCACGTCTGACCTGCTCATCGCTATGGACTTGTCCGGAAACCCAGGCTCCTGGCTGGCCCTGCTTGCCATCACTGGCTCTGCTCTGCTTTTTTGTTTGGGCACTGTGAGAGTGTGCCCTTGTCGGCGAGGTCACTGCCCTGCCTGCCTTGTTGTCACATTCAGTTCTTGGCTCACCCACCCTTGCAGAACAACCTGCCCTTCCTGCTGCTTGACAGCTTAAATCTGCTCACCTGTAAGCCTGCACTTACATGGTGGTGGGGTTTTTTTTCTGATAAATGTCCTATTGGCTTTCAAAATGGAAAAGGTAGAACTGGTTTTTGCAACTGTTTTTTTGGTGTGTAGTCAACAATAAACACAGACGTGAATAGCAGTCTTCTTATCTTTATTACATCTTCACAGATCTGATCAAAAAAAGGTGCCAAAATGACTAAGATTAGCCTGGGGAGATAATCCATTATTGCTTTCTTTTCTATGGTGCAAGATGATGAATGATGTCCCATAGTCTTTGCCATTAACTTTCTGTGTTGTAGAAGATAGTCTGACATAGACATGCATGATATCATTGCTATTAATTTAAAATCTCGTGTTTGCAAAAAAAAAACCACCAACAAAACAAAACCCCCACCAAATTAACCACCTATAGC